GACATTGCAGCACGTCTAATGCCTGCTCATCGAAATTACAGAAGCAGAAAAGTAACACAGATTTCCAGCATTTCCAGGAATGGACATGAACTAACAACCAGTACCCAAATACCTGCCATGCTTAGGGATCTTTTAAAAAAATGAATCCAGCATCACAGCTTGAGCCTCTCTTCACTTGTTTCTAAGCAATATTTCTTTGTTGGCTCCTGGAGATGACCTGCAGGCTCTCCAGGGTGCGCAGACATCCAAAGACTGACTAAGAAAATCAGGTGGAGAGTTATTTTTTTTTTTCCCCCTGACTTCTCAGATGAACAGGGGCAGGTGAGCCAGAACTTCTCGCAGGTGGCTGAGCAGACAGAGGGGTCGGGTTCTGCAGCCCTGGTATCACTTCCTACAACCAGTCATGCTTCCCTTGCCCAGGTGCAGCCTGCCTGCTGCAGCAGAGATCTGGTAAAGGGCCAGTGAGTCCTTCATGTCCCTGCTAGAGTTGAGGCCGTGGGGAGCAGTATGCTCAGCCCAGCAAGAGTTCTAAGTCCTGTTCTAGATTTTCTGTTTTCAGACTTGAGGCATGTTCTTATTAGGCTGATTTTTAATCTACCCAAAGGTGTGATCGAAGTTGCAGACGAACACATGCACCTGTTTGTGTACAGGCACTGTGAACACTGAGCCCCCAGACGTCAGGGTAGAGCTGCTGCAGATTCCTCTCCTGTGCCTTTGCAGTGAACCTCCGGTGGCCCCGTCTGCCCGCCCCCGTAAGTCTGAGTTAGCAGGGATCCGTTCATTGCATCCTGACATTTATATTCAGGGAAAGACAGTTTTTGTCAAAACCTATCAGTGAATCTCCTTCTGAGGATCTAATACAGCAAATCCTACAAACTCAGTGTTTTCTCCTGTTTTTGACTTTCCATAGTTCAGTGGCTTATAATTACACACAGTGTGCTGCTACAGGGTTTTCTGTTTCACAGAGGATAGCTGCTAATAGCGCTTCAGTGTTTCCCCTTGCATGGCTTGGAATTTAATTAGAAATAAAGCTATAACCTTATATTAGGATAAGCTTGGTTAGCCAGGTAGATCCCCTGCCTGCTGCAAGGCAGTGACAGTCACCTGAGCATTTCTGGGTATGATGTCTTGCTGTGCCCACAGTCAGGATGAGAGTGCCTCTAGCCTCTGGCAGAGCTTTCGGGGGCTTGAGGTGACCTCAGAAACTGAGCAACGTGTTGGTCCTTTGCAGCTGAGTCTTGTGTGCTCTGCTGCAGCCTGAGGTGAGCTCAGTGTGTGATGAAAGAGGTGCACTGCCCCAAACAGGTATGATCCACTGCTCACCTGGAGTTACTGTCTCAGGACTGGTGCCACATTATGGGATTACAGGGTGTTCAGGTGGCAGAGCAGAGCAAGTTCTCCTATATCTGCCTGCCGAAGATAGTAGAGGAGTAGTGTTAAAGGCAGAGACATGTCACAGGAAACTGGGCTTCTCACTCTTACATCTCTCCTCTCGTGGGAACTTGAAGACCCAAGCGAAAAGAGTGTAGTCTGCTGCAAGCTGTGAAAGATATTTGATGTGGATTACTGGCCACAGAGCAAGGAAAGGGGTTTGACAGGTGTCCAGAGCGGGACCCTGGTTGTGGGGTATACTAAATTTTTCTGCTGCCCTGTAGGAAGGTGGGTGTGTGCTTGTTACCAAGTCCTAACCTAAACAAGTCATCAAATGCCCTGGTTATGTGTAGAGGGTGAGAGGCAGAAGAAATTAGATGGGGTTTAGGATGCAGCAGGGCTTTTTAGGATGCACCATTAGAGAGTGGGTTTTTAGGAGCAGCATTGGAAACTGAGGATCTAGCAGAGTGAGTGAGCAAGAGTGTTGTGCAAGTCTACTTAATAATACAAAATAATAATGCTAAGACATTGTTTCAGTGCTTTGTGATAGAAAAAATCATTAGCTTACAGCACAAACAAATGAAAGATCACGGATGATTAAAATTGTAATTAAAGCACGGCAATGATACTGGCACCACAGACATCTCTGCAGACTATCTGAACAGCACATTAAATAAAGTCAATCATTTCTTCTTAATAATGGTATTTACAGTAACACAATAGGAATGCAAGGCATTTCACTGCAGGCAGCCTGGGGTTTAAAAATATACTTAAAGCATTAATATCCAGAAAGAATAGGTCTGTGCTGAAAAAATGGTTAACACTACAGTTCAGTTTTCAGATGCCAGGCTTTAGTATAATAATCAGTAGCAAAGGAAATTAAAATGAGGGAGGACGTTGAACAAGGGCTTTAAAGAGAGGATTTGGTATAGAGAGTTTAGAGCAGGATGATTTTGATTATGTTACTGTACTAGATAAAAGGAAGCTGAGGGGATTCATAATTGTTAACGTTGCTAATCCACAAAAAAGAATTTAAAGATAAGATGATAGAATATTATTAGCAGCTTCAGGCAAAGGTTTCCTATTTCTGGCCATTATTAGTCACCTTCTTTGAATCTAATTAAAAAATAAAAATCCAACAAGACATAGCTCAGTTTCTGCACAAATCAGGAAAGGAAAGCTGAGAACTTCTTTTGCTGTCAAGGGCTAAACTCCCTTCTAACTGGATGACTTTTTGTGTGTGTGTGAAAAAGGAGGCTTCAAAATTGGGCTACAGATGTGTTAGTAGCCCCAGGAAACTTTAATAGGTACTAGAAGAGAACTAGTGCCATGCCACATATTAAGATATTGTGAGGAGATAATGAGGTGCTCCATTTCCCTTTCCTCTTTTGAGGATAAACAGGAGACACTGAAAGATACAAAAATCAAGAAGGGGTAAACCAACTAAAGAAATGCTTAAAATTTATCTGTGTAAATCCTTGCCAATAAATACTACTTTATGTAAGAGGTTGGAACAGTACAGGAGAGAGCATAAAGTGAAGTTCTCAGTTGTTGCCCTTGAGTGGCACCAGCTCCATGTGTGTTTGCCTCTTCTCTATTTAAGAATTTTCTCTTCTGTTTGGTATTTTTCTGGAAGAACCTTTTCTGTTTTGCTTTTTTGCTACTGCTTACTTACAATTTTGGGTTGTTAGTCTGCTCTGTGATGAGAGATCCCTTACTCCAGTTACATGATAGAAAAAACAAATACAACCCAACAGATTAAATTTTTAGATTTTTCATCTGCTTTTCATTCACAGGTACAGATCCAACTGATAGTGAGGCTGAGCTAGCAGAGCTTCATTGTTTGTTTGGCAAAACCTTGTCTCTGCTGTTCCAGTCTGCTGGGGCTCTTCCTGCTTTCCAAGCTGGTCTCTGTGAGAGCCTCAGCACACAACCAAGACCACTGCAGGGCAGGGATCTGGAATAAGCAGCCTCTTCCAAAGAAGTACCAGTGCCCCCCCGAGGCTGATCTGCACAACAGATGTGGAGCAATGCTGGGATCAGCCCACCTAGTCGGTTCCAGGAATAAATTCACCACAGTAGGTACTACCCATCTCTCAGCAGCAAGGCACAGAGTGAAGGAGCTGCTTTGCAGTGAGCCCTATCCAACAGTGCCATCAGTCAGCATGTCTGTGATACCCCATACAGAGGGAACAAGTGCTTTTTTGACACCACAGGAAGGCTGAACTTCTTGATTTTGAGTGTGTCAAACATTGCTTTGGGCAGGCAGAGGGGCCAGATGTTGATCTGCACTATACCAGTGGAATGTTGATTATGGTTGAGTCACTCCAAGCCAGAATGGCAGGAACACACCAGGAACTGGTGAGGTTTTGGTCATGTTTTCAGGCATGTCTACTGGAAAATATAAACAAAGCCACAACTAGTAGGCTCTTTGTCTTGCATGCCAAGTTATCAGAAAAATACTGGATAAGAAAAAGACAAGGACAAGGGACCTTAAGGAGGTTCCTTACTGCCTATGTTTTGCTTGTGCCTTCAGAAGGCAGGCCTTCCTTGGGGAAAAGAAAAAATGCATTATAGAATTCAGCCGGTTTTGATACCCTTGAAATCTTTTACTTGGATTTTTTTAAAGACTAAAGTGATGGAAAAAACCAGGTACGGTGGTGTACACAGAAAATGGGGAAGATGCAGTTTGGAGAGTGTTGTTCTCTACAGAATAGCAGTGAAAGAAAATACAGGCAGGAAGAATCCTCAATTAAGATAGTATAAGGAAGCAAATATTTGAGGAACCAGTAAATCAACTAGATAAGAGCAGAATAAATGTAATTCAAAGACCAATTTCTTGTTGTAGTATGTTGCAAACATCAGAGCGCAGCACTGCATTTGATGATGGACTATACTGCACAAAGTCGGAAAAGAGGCAGTAGCTCTCTCTAAAGCTCACTGAAAGATAAATAAATCACAAAGGTTATTGTATCATACTGTCAGTGAGGTTTTTAATAAGTAGGTACAATTATTTTAGGCATGAAGAAAATATAAAAAATATCTGCCCCCAAGGGCTGTTATTTTCTCAACAAACGTGCTGGCAGAGAAAGTCAAGCAGACATAAATATAATAGGATGGAAAACTATGTGCTGGGTAAAAGGTGTTTGCGATCCTGTTAGATGTGCCCAGTACAAAGAAGCACACCCCAGTGGTAGACTTTCATGGAAAGGGGGAAAAAAACCCCAAATTTTACATATGGCAATGAAAATGGGATACAAGGCATAAAACCAGGCACCAATAAATTCACACAAAATATCAGACTTACTCGGCAATAGAAATATCCTTGGGATGATCTCTCAAGTTGATCAGTGCTGGGACAGGAGTCACACTTGCAGAGTGAGGGCCAGTTTAGAAAGCCTTTGCTCTTATGGTGAGCATTTAATGCTCATCTGGGGTGACTAAAGGCTCCATCACTTCAATTTCAGGCCAAGATTGATGATTCAAAATTAATTTTTCACAAGTACTGTCTTCCTGAATAAGGACTGGAGTATTAGAAGCATTAGAAACTTTCCCTGTCAGCAATATGAGTACCAATAGAGGGGTAGTGGGTTAGCAAAGGAAAAATAATATTTATTTATCTGTTACAGAAAGTAAACTTAAAGCAACGGAGAAATGTCTAAAGCAAAGATGGATAAATGTGTCAGATCAAGCTCTCACACTCAGATTCAAATGGTATGGGTAAGTGTGGCGCTAAATTACATGTCCAACTCGAATTTTAAAGTAGTCCTAGTGACTTAGGAACATGCCAGCCAAGTGCAGTCTAATGGTACACTGCAGAGGGTGGTCCATGCATCTGATTTAAAAGGCATTCAGCAATTCCCAGTCTCACACCAAGCTTGTTCTCAACCTGTCAATGAAAACCCTTAATTCTCTTGGTTATCACAGTTCTCTGTCTCTGTACCTATCCCAGTTAGGTTTTAATTTGCAATTTTTTAAACCTGAGCCTTGCATCTGGAGGGAAGAGATTTGTGGAGGCTTTTTTTTTTTTTTTAAATTCTTGGAAGACCAGTGCTAAGCTCTGTAGCTCCGTACTGAGGGTGCCACCACTGCCCACACCCGGACCAAACATTGCTGTTAATGCTGTTCAGGGCTAGTTTGCAGAGCCTGGCAGCAGCAGGCTTTTAAGCATGTGAGCTGAGCATACTTACAGTTTGAGGAAAAAACCTCTCCTCTGTCTATTCCTCAGAAAAGAAAACCAGCGTGGTTACTGTAGTAACCATGATCTTATCTGCCAGCAGACACAGACTTCTGGACAGTCAGTACTGCAGTGGGGAAGTGCTGCACATGCATGACTGTAGCAAATAGGGCTTGGATAACATTTTCTAAGTCATCTAGGCTACCCCTTTGTCCCAGGGCATGACTGGATTTGCCTTTCACCAGGCAGGTTCTTGTCTAACTTGGTTTTTTTAAATCTCCAGTGATGAGGAAGGGAATGTTTTTCCTCATCACAGCTGTTGCCTGTTTCATAGCCTGCGGTGTGAAATGGATGGCATTTACATACAATCCTTATATTCACTGGTGTAATTGTAGCTCTTGTCTCTGATTGTTTAACAGATTGAACTAACGACCAGCCATTCATGTAGTGAACTTTGTCCTCTTCCTCTAATATTCTGGGAATTGGAATATGACCTGGAGGTGGGTGGTGAAGAGCAGAGCTGTCCTCTGACTTTCCATGGCTGGAGAGCACCCAGGCAAATTCAGAATCAGCCTTTTTCTCTCTAGTCTATTGGACTGTATTCCTGATTTATAGAACTTATTCTCTCCAAAGCCTGAAGGTAGTATCAAATTGTTCTTCTTTGTGACTCAGTTTCTTCCTTTTGGATTTTAAATATGCTGTCATCAGTAAATAGTAAATCCAGGATAACAACCGGGTTGTGAGAATATCTAGGTCTTCAGGAAGAAAGAAATCTCTACCTAAGTGTTGCTGGCCAGCAGGTGTAACATGTTTATCAGATTAAACAAGTCAAAGGCCATAATGTCAAAAGAAGAAAAGCAGAGGGTTGTTTTAACGGAGTTGATACCAGCAGCATGAATGATTCACTCACTTGTTCAAACAGTTCAGCTTTCCTTTATTGGCATGCTTTATTTTCAGCTAAGACAGTCCCCAGTCCATCACTCCAGTTGGAGTTGGATGGACAAGGAGGTTGGATGCAGATGCCACCCTATTGCATCCTGCAGTAGGACTGAGACAAGGACATTATTTAGCTGCCTCACAGTGCTTTTTTATCTTATACTTTGCTCCATTCAGGTGGTTATAAATGTTCACAGACTCTGAGCTTCTACTATATAGACAAAAAGTATGGAGAGGTTTTTTTTCAATTTCTTTAGCTCTTAAAGTTCTTTGGTCTTGCCGACTTCCACTTGGGTTTTTCCCAGGTAAGGTCTGTTGTGTTTGTTTTGCCTGTTTATTCTTGAAGAACAAGTATAAAGTTTAAAGTGATGTGTGAACTTTTCCACTTGATCATAACACTTGTCTCTCCCCTGTCTTCTGCTCTGCTCCCTCCACTTGGCTCTAGTTTCTAGACAGAAATGAGATCAGCCTCAAGGCTTGGTATAACTTCTTGAGCAGCCTCCATGCTGAGGTTAAGGACTTTAATGATTGCATGGATGCCACCAAGAGCCCTAGCCCCCAGAAACTCTGCTTCTTCTCCCATACTACCTATTTCTCTAGTCCTTACTGAAATTTTATGTCAGAAGCTAATTCCTTCTTGAAGATATGGAAATTTAATGATTGGTTGATGAGGGTAACTGAGTTTCGTCATGGACCCATTTCCATTGGCAAAACCAAAAGCCATTTAACACCTGGGGCTTGCAGGCAGTGCTTGGAAGGGCCCAAAGATGATGGAGGCACCATCAGAAAGCACTGAAATGAAAGGCACTCATGAAAAGGCAGGTAGGGAAAACAGCTGAAGCTATCATCCTTCAGAGGAGGGAGATTCCTAGGCCTCTGCAATGGAGAGGAAGGGATGGGTGTGGGAGAGAGGCAGGAGGTAAGGCCCAGGTCAGGCACCACAGTCCTAAACCAGCAGCCTTGACAAGGAAGTCCAGAACCAGGAAAGATGTTTGAGTCCAAAGCCCTTCAGCCTTGCACCAGACAACCCAGCAGGGTAGCCCTGTTATGCCTCTGCCCAGTTGGGAAGGACAGTCCTCTTCCCAAGGGAAGGGGTGGCCAGGGGAACATAAGCCTTGACCAGCTGAAGCCTCTGCTCATGCTGTGGTGGGCCCTTTGCAAGGAGAGATCCCACCTGTGGATCTGAATCCCGTCTGGCTGCGTGATGTGATCACTGGGCTTAATTTAATTTTTGACTCATCAAGATTTGAGTGATTTGATCAGTACAATTCTCCAGAGACAAAAAAAGAAAAAGCCATTGCTTCCACTTCCTGATACATTTGACTTCAATAAAACAATGGATTAGTTATCACTAAGGTAAAGGCATCAGCTGACCACTGATTTTGGCTGGAATACTGTGTGTTTAAATGATAGCAGGGCTATATAAGCACACAGCACCTTTTTGTTAAAGGTGCCTCCTACTTAATGAAGTGTTACATAAAAACTAAATTGTCCCCAGATAGTTTCAGTCCGGAGTATTTGGGTAATACACAGAGCAACAGCTTATTAAACTGGAAGAAGCTAACAGAAGTAATAATGATGAAAGGGATCCTTGATTCAAAATGATATTGTGTGCCTTAGAACATTGACATTTGTGTCAATACCGTATTAGTGGTAATCAAATTTCTCATTGTCTGCTGCAATGTAACCAACTCCTTGGGTATAAAACTCCATTAATCATGGATGTGGGCTCTCTGTGTCCGTGTCGGTGGAAAGATAAATTAGGTGGCACGCTGCAGATCTGAAAGAGACGAGGGCAAGCATTGAATATAGAAGAAGGATAAGCAAAATCTACTCCTAGATCTTTTCCCTTGACATTTTCCCCTTGCCGAGCCAAAGAACGGTTCAGAGATTGTTGTTTTATGAGCTATTCTGCGTAATTTTGTACCATAGTTTTCGTTTTAGAGCAAATGAAAGTGTATTTCTGTGCTTAAGGCAACAGAAATGGGGGTGGAATTTCTGTACCTGCAGATTGTAGAGGCATTGTCACCATCTTAAAATGGGAGTAATATTACTACCTGTCATAGTAGTCTTGGTCCTGATAGAAACTGCAATGCTGTCGGCAGGCTCTGGAGACCTAAGTCTGCCGTAGCTCTGCCACAGACCTCTTGCTTGATGTTGGCAGGTCACTCCATTTCACTTTACCTCCTTTCCCCTACTGTTGCTGCAGGTAACAGTACCCCTGCATCCAGAAGCACAGCATTAATAACACCGTGTTAATGTTCATGAGATACATCCAGAAAAAGAACTTGGGGGTGTGTTTTTTTTATTTCTGAAGCCACACGAGATGAGGATGTGCTGCACATGGCAGATGCCAGCTGGCTGGCTGGGGGTCTTAGAGGCTCTGCGCCCTGTCCCTGTCTTTCTCATCATGGCTCTATGTATGTCTTTGGAAATGCCACTTGCTGTGTGTGCAGTCACATAAGAGTAGCCCTGCTATGCCTCTGCCCAGCTGGGAAGGATGATCCTCTTCCCTAGGAAAGGGATGGCCAGGGAACACAAGCCTTGACCGTCTGCAGCCTTGACCCATGCTATGGGGATCCCTTTGCAAGGAGCCAGGATTACAGGCGTGGGGAAACTTGACTTCACAGACCTTTCCTCCCATTAACGCCCCTGTCATTCTCTAGAACCTGTTCTTCTTATCCCAACAATTTGTTTCCATACAGTTTGCCTGTGCTTCAGTCCCTGATGTTGTGTAGGTTACCTGAAGGGCCTTCGTGTTTGAGGAGGTGATTTCAGGTACTAGACCATTTCAATGGGCAGGGGTTACATGAGGGATCGGTTTCACCTAGGAGTGATCATAATTTCCATATCTTCAGTTGCAAAGTGATGACAGTATTTCTTACTTTCTAACATGTGGCTCTTGGTAATAGAAATGCCAAGTGTTACTGCAGTGTACAGTGTGCTGGGGCTCTGCTCCATAAGGCAGTTTTGAAATCTTTGGTTGTCCATAGCAACCTGCAGGCACTGAAATATCAACTTGCACATATGTGGGGGTTTGAAATGCTGCTGTTGCTGGAGGCTCCTAGGAAAAGGCTCTCTGCTTTATCCCTGTGTGGACCTTCTCCTCATTGCCCCTACCCACCCCATAGAGGTTGTGGCTCCTGCCAGCACAGCAGGTTTTACCAGGCTGCAGGTCCTCCCTGGGAGCTGTGCACTGTGCATGGCCAGAGGGAAACCGGTACCAAGGCAACGTGTGCAGGGCAGTCCCAACCAGCGGCAGCCCTCGTGCTGCAAAGACACCAGTGCTCTGATGTCCACCACTACAGAGTGTGTGACAGAGCTGGAGCCACCACAGAGGACCACTGAGTTCACTGGTGATTGAAGTGTTGTAAAAGGCAGACTTGCTTGTAGTTTAAATTAGGAGAGAGAGACCAGAGCCACTTCATCTCACACTCTCAGGCTGTGGTCTGGGCAAAACTCCCTGTGCCCCAACTAGCAGGAGGCAGGGCAGCATCCCAGGTTGTAGCCAAGTCACTGGTCCAAAGTAGTGGCTGTGTGACATGACTCAACATTACAGTGTTCTCCCTTTGCTGGAAATGTCTGAGATTTAACTGATTGGGTCCCCCTGCACCTGTTAGTGACTTTGTCAAAGGATGCACCTGTCCTGTGCTTTGGAAAACCCTTGTGCCAGCCAGCTAGTGCAGGGTGTTGTGACAGCCCTGAATGGGTCACTGCTACGTGTGCTTTGTCACTACCTGTCACTGCTTAATACTCCTCTCTGCTGGGAGCCAGAGCCTGGACCAACTGCTCAGATTCACCAAGCAACTTTTGCAATATTAGAGTATGAAGACGTTTTCAGCAGCTTCTGTGCTTTTGGCAGCACCCAGTCCCTGCCGTAATTAGGCTTGGGTGTCCTCCAAAATGGCAGAAACTTCAAAGGCCCCAAGCCTAACCTTAGGGGAATGTAGGTGGGGCTGTGATCTCCAGGCAACGTCATCCTGGGAGTCTTTCAGCTCCAGTGGCCAGTTTACATACTCGAGACCTGACACAGCAAAAGAGAGACTTACAGTTTGATGGCTTCAGTCTTTTAATCCCTATTTCTACCAGCAATCCTTTTTCTACAAGTAGGCCCTACTCGTGTAAGTAGTTCTCTTGGCTTCAGTGGAGTGTCTTTAGTGTACTTAATGTAAACTAAGACTACCTTTGGCATCTGTGGAATCCTAAAAAACTAAAACAGCAGGACACAATTGAGGGCATTGGGCTTTACAGACCCAAGAGGTCACATGGAGTTTACATTTACTCCTGGCAATTCCACGGGTTCACTAGCACAGTCACAGCAGATGAATTTCCCTTCTAACTGCAGAATAAACACTGCATGTGGGGTAAATATTAAAGGAATTACTGTAACAGGAAAGGAAAGGGAGGAGGGCTTCTTTGTCAAACAAGAAGGATGTCTGTTTACCTGCTGTCCCCAAGTAGCAGGCATTGCTCATTGGAGTGTTTTGGAAGTCAAGAGATAAAGCCTTAAATAGGGACAGCCAACACACAAAGAAGAGAAGCGCTTTTACAGCTTTTCGAGGGTAATTGTGGCCATTGCTAATTTTCATACCATGATGGCTTAACAGTTCTGTGCCTGTGATTGTGCAGCCCAATTCACATGGGAAATGCTTCTTGGAGCCTAATAAGCACTAAGGTGCACATCCTGCGTGCTGCCATGGCAACGGCAGGATGCAGGAGGGCTGGGAGGGCTGGCTGCCAGGAGCTCCTGCACCTTGGCAAGAGAACTGCCCTTTGGATGTCCAAAATGGTTTCATTACCAGCCGTGGAAACTATCTGGTGACTAGTGACTGATTCTTCAAATGAGTGATACCTCCCTAAGCTGAATGAACCCTTTGGTTGCTGGCTTCAGGTGTGTGCTGGTCCATCTAGCACAGCTGTGTAGTGGAGGAGAGACAGTGCAGCGCAGAGGCCGGCAGCATTTGTGCAAAACTGTCAGTCCTGATGAGGAAGCCCAGGGAAGCTTCACTGATGATGTTCTGGCATTCAGTGTCAGACTGTGTTTTGAGGTTTTGTTTTCACCCTGCTTTCCTGGTTGTTGCTGGTGCCTGACCCTTTCACTGCTGCCAGGGCACATGCAGGGCAGCCTTCATGCCTTGCTGACCTTCTCTGGACGGGGCTGAGCAGCTCTGGGCTTGTGGCAGGAGGGTTGCTAACAACAAATTTTGTCCCATGGCAAACTCTGATGCTTTGACACTTATTTTCCCCCAAGGGAGGGACAAACATAGTCGTTTTCCTTGCTGAAAAAGATCACGACTCTGCAGTGCTGAGGCTGTGGCAGTGTCCATGGGAACTGGGAGCTTGGGTACCCCATGTTCTCAGTTCTCCTCCACGGCCAAGACTTCCAGCAGGGCAGCAACTCCTGTGCTGTGTCCTGGCCAAGGAAACCACATGAGGCCCTGTCTCCAGTAAGGGGGACAGTGGAATGGAAAATTAAATGGGGGAACATGGTCCATATAGGAGAATGGGGAAATGAAATAATTTAACTGTAGTTCCTATGAAGTACTCAAGCAACTTGGGTAGGAACCTGTTGATGCCAAGCTGAACCAAAATCAATTGTTTGTTGTATTTTTTTTTAATTCCATTTAACAGACTGAAGCAGTCTGATTAAATTCCCACAGACCTGAAACTGTTTTGCCATATCTTTAGTCATGCTTTCATAAAAATTAGTATTTCCCACTCTTAGGTCTTGACATGAAAGAAAGCAAGTGTTTTGCACCAGCCACCACTGCTGATTTCAATTGTTGGACTTAGCAATGGAGTTCCTGACACTGTTAAAACTGTTGCTACTGGGATGAGGGGAGTGATGGTTGATACAAAGCCCGGGGCTTTTTATAAAGCTCTTAAGCTGGTCTGTGATTTGCACACTATGCCAAATCCACCCCATGAACTCAGAGGGTGGCTATCAAAATGATGATCTGAGTACCTTACACTTCTCTCTGCCGAGAAGTTGGGTAACCTGTACCTGAGGAACTCTCCCAGGAAGAGCCTGCATTGTCTTAATGCCAGCATGGAGTGACTTGTGTGACATATGCTCCACGTGAGTTCTCTGCACCCTCCACAGGTGCATCATTTGGCTGAAAACAGACAATAATTATTGCTAATTACATGTTGCTCTGCTACCTGCTAATTAAGGAGAGCTGCAAAGCTGAGATATGTGTTCTCTGGAGTAGTGACCACCTGACTCAATGAATGCAGAGGTGGAGGATAAAAGTTTGATCAGAGAGAGAACTTGGAATGGCTAATACAACAGTGGTTGGTTGGGGTTTTTAAACCTTCTTCAGGATTTAATGATATTCATGTTCAGAAATACAGCAATATTGATTGGCAGAAATGTATGTAAATGTCATAGTTGCCAACTCTAGGGAAGTGAACACACTGCAGTAGGAAAAGCTATTTCTTCTTATCTGGCTGGAAAAGCAACCCAGTTGTGTTGGCACAGATGCATTTTGGAAAATTAAACAGCAGGGAAGGAAATGACACAATGGTTCTACAGGTGTGCAGAAAGGCCATCAGGAGGGAGCTCCCTTGCTCAGCAGGCTTCAGAGAAGGCTGAGGGGAACTGCAGCAGTGGCTCTCACTGCTGGAAATTCAGCTGGGTTTCCTGAGGGTGAGCAGTTGTGGCAGGGGCTGTGCTGAGATGGTTTCTGACAGGCCAAACAAACCTCTTGATCTCAGCGTTACTGGCCAACAGTCCCTGTGCATTGCAGAGGGACAGGGATGGTCAGATGCACATCTCTGGCCATGATTACACCGTGGTATCTAGGCTGACAAATGTCACGGGGAGTTTTCTTAATATAACATGTCCATTGCAGAATTTCGTTATAGTTCCAATATAAGGCTGGCTTTCAAAACCAGAAAGGTACCATCCAGATTCTAAAATTAACATCTGGTTAAAGCCTGGCTTAAATGAATGCTTTAAAAACTCTTGTTATATCATGAGATAAAAATGTGCCTGAATATGGAAAACCTGTACAAAAATATTCATGATGTGTTTCATTACGTACCTTCCTTTACATGGCATCTGATGATAATCAGGATCTAACTTACTTATGGGGTTAGTGAACCATGTTATTGAGGTGTTCATGTCTCTCAATTCTGCATCACAGCAGCTGAAGCTCAGTCATAAGAGAGTGATGACTAAATGACAACGAGCAGATGATGTGTCTCCTAATGATCCCATGGGAAGTAAGCAAACTGGACTAAACAGGAGACTTCCTGTGGACACACGGATGTCCCAGTAAGTACTTTCTCAGTCAGATTCTGTGTGTGAGTTCCTGTGCGAGGGAGAGGCAGATTGACTTTACCTGTAAAATGCACTGAGGATATCACAGGAAAATATTTTGCATCAGGGAATGAAGTACTACTCCTACTTCCATCAGTGGTGAGATCATTTTGATAGTGTGCTGTTTGCTTCCTTCGGAAAGAAATAGCAGCCACTGCAACACAATTGGGGAAATGTAGATTTTATTCCCAAATCTATCAAGTCCCAAACTGAGAAGGTACCCACTTGCCTTAATATCTCCTCATCTGTTAACTACATAAAATATCCATTAATTTACAATCATTTCAAGAGATTACATTAATATAGCATTGATAACATGCTTGGATTCTATCCAACAGAAGATGCTAAACAGGTATAAGATACTATTAATTTCATCAGTAATGAAATATCTGTAATACAAAGTAATTTTCTTGTGTGCTAAGATTTCAGTATAGTCTAGCTTGCTTGGAGAACTTAATGAAACTATGGCATCAACAGATAATACAATTGCAAACTGAATAACCTGGAAGAGTTTTTGGTCCTCCAGTTACATGACTTTTTATTTAAATTTGCTTGTTAAACTTAATTCCAATAATTAATTACCATTTTGCAGAAAATATATATTTATTAAGTATTATCTAATATCACTGTGCAGCAAAGACGACCCTTCAAAAAGCTTTAAATACAACCTCAACAAGAAATATTCTTGGCAGCACCAGTGTCTTCATGGTAAAAAAACCACAGAAAAGTTAGTCCATACAAGAACCAAATGTTTAGCTCTACTTTACATATATGTAATAGTAACAGGAAGGGAATGGAGTGACTTGATACACAACGTGAAGACATTACCTGATATTGTACTATTATTAAAACCTTTTATCGGTCAAGGAGACCCAGCAGAATAGAAACCATAGTTATTTCATGGTAGGACTAGTTTTACAATAGTGCACCCAGTTGGCAAACCCCTTTAAATAAAAGCAATGAAAGCATCTGAAGCCTTGGGATAACCATTTTCCCAGCAGTAAGGAATCACGTTCCTCTTTCCTAAAATGAAGCTGCATTCACTGAGACATTGGATACAGACTGTTTTGTGTGGTTTTTTGTTTTTCTTTTTTTTTAGCCCGGGTAAAATCCTCTTTGTGCACGTGGTGCCTACTCCACTGGCACTGTCTTCCCAGAGGAGCTCCTGGAGACCTAAATCAGGCCTCTAAAGGTTAACCTGCGGGAAGGCAGAGGATGCCGGGAGGGAATGACACCCAGCTGGTCTGAGGCTGGTGACGTGGGCTGGTAACCTGAGAGCCTGTTGCACAGTTTCTGTGCCTGGAGTTGCTGTGGGATCAGAAGGAGCTGGCTGGCTCTGTCCTGGTTTATGCAATGCCCAGTCCCCTCGGCCGCACTGCCCTCCTGAGCGGGAGCCTTTTGGCTGTGTCTGAATTCAATGTGCAGCGCCTGCTCCCACTAACTCACTGACTGCACGGTGCTATTCTGCACTGCCCTGCCTGGATTATTCGGGAATATCTGGGAACATGTGTTCCTGAACTGTCTGTTATCAGCAAGTCCAAGAGCTGGGAAGCCCTAGGAAGCTTTCACTGTACTCCATTTATTTTTCCATTCCCTCCCACACACCCTACCACTACACCAGGCAACAACACAGGATGCAGTAAAATGGTTCCTAAAAACATGTCATCGCTGTCAGTAAGGCTTTTTAAATTCCTGTTTTAAAATATCCCAAACTACAATTTGGTTTCAAACAGTACCTTCACAGAGGTGCTTATCCCACAGGATGACTTGGAGAACCCATCTGATTTCAAATAAATTCATGGCTTTCAGAAGGAACAATTTCCTTTGTTATCCCATCTGGGCAGGCATGTTGTTGTTATATATGGTCAGAAAATGGAAGTGAAAATGCAAAAGCTGTGGTACAAAACCTCTTCTTGATGCCATTGGCACTTGAAATGTGCTGCATCGTGAGGTTTGATGTTCTGAAAGAACATTTTTTTTATCTGCTGATCCTTTTTTGGCCCAGGTGGATGATTCTTAGGTTCTTTCCTGATGTCTTAAATAGCAGTGATAATGTGCAGCCTATGGAAATCTGCAGCAACTGTTAGGTACTCATTAGTCACTGACACAAAGCTTTGTACATCAGAATCTATCTACAGGTGCCACAGGGAGAAGGCAAGAAAGAAAAATGTGTCATACTCTGAGGTAAACAGCTTTATTCCCTATTAGTCTGCCAGAGGCTGAATTAGTAATTTATGAAGCACTTTGCCACGGTGAGATTTGTTTAGTCCACTTAGGATTTGTTTTTCGCTGTTAACACAGAGCTAAACAACTGAGACTGTGTCTACATGCACTTCTGCAGATAGGAGCTTGCTCAGTGCTTGGTGCCTGCCAGCTACAAGCCACATCACCGGCAGCATGGCAGTGTTGTTTGCACAGCATGGAGGGTAGGGCTGATATTCCCACAGTTACTCATCTCTGCACCCCCACTTTTCCACCAGGTGCTGTAGCTGCTTTTGATTTGTTAGCAGGATGGCAGGCTCGCTGTCTGCCGAACAGGAATGTAGTGGTCACACATGGAGCACTGCCTGGGAGGCCAGGAGGAGGGCTGGTGATGGGCCTGAGCAGGGTGGGGCTCATCACATCTTCATCCAGCTCTGTGGCAGCGTGGACAAAATGTGGTTCTTCTGCCTAGGGAATACATCTGTGGGAATATAGGTTTTTTCCCATTTTTAACACACCCTATTTCTTATTAAGATTTGAGAAAAGTAGAAGTCCATAATGTTAAGACCACCAACAAACTTTCAGGAAAAAGCAGACATTGCCCCAGGAAAAAAAAAAAAAGGGAATATAGAAAAGAAACACAAATCCCTATTAC